AGCAAACCAGAGATAACTGAGGAGACATTTAAAGCCATATGTTAGCGCTAAAATCTTCTTTGTGTTTATATATGATATAGGTATTTTCCTATTTAGATAGTATATACTAATGGCTTTGGTGGAAGTGTCGATGAAGCAAACGAATTTTTGCTATAACAATCGATTACCTTACTTATTTTTAGTATATAAGTAGAGTCTCGAGACTACCAGAAACTGCAGTCTACCCAGAATGAGAATACCTTTTCGGAAAGCAAGGTTATGTGAAATTTAAAGGAAACGTCAGCTCTACTAATATCATTATGGGAAAATTCAATTACCAGTCCTTTGACATCTTAAACGAAATATGGTGAACTCAACTCATATATCCGATTTGTTGGTAGTCCCGAAGACCTACTCACATACAATTATTTATATGTCTATTCACCCTATTTCGTTTAAGGTTATAAGAGGACTAGTAGTTGAATTTTTCCAAGATAATGTGATAAATCACCTTACCTCTCCATTAAATTTTGCATAAACTTGCCCTCGAAAATCCCACCATAAAGTGTGATGTGGGAAAATGCCTGGCCTTCCTTGAAATTCACATCCTTCCTGTGACCTAAGGGAACCCGTGGCAATGTGGTGTAGTGGTTAATGCGTCGATATTTTACATGATTTAGTTAATTAAAGTCATATATCAATCTTGAAGCATGGATGTTTGTATGTTTGTGTATACCAATGTTGCTTTGTGTACAACGCGTATGGGACCAGCACTGATCCCTCAAAGTAATTGGAACAGTACCCATCTTTTTTCATTTTTTAACCATCACCAATGGTGTCCATCATATAGTAGATGAAAGCATAGCACGATTCGACTTTGCATTTAGAAGAAAAGCCTTTAGTATTCCGAAGAGGATGTGGACTGTTCGTAAAATATAATACGCTTGCACTCTACTACTCCAAAGTTGGAGCCACCAAAAACGAAAATAGAGAAAAGGAATAATAGTATTACCAAGTGTCCTATTTACAAACGGATGAATAAAGTATTGGAGGCTGACAATAGAAAGACAATCATTGAAAGGCGCCATGAAATATAGGATTCTAAAATGCGTGGATCACAGCCGAGCGAAGAAGGAATAAAATGTGACCAACTTAAACATGAAGAAGTTTTCCATGTCAACTTTTGATTGGACGATGCGGTGCCAAGCTATGATTGGTCGACGTGTCTAAAGCTGTATCGGATGTAATAAAATGTAAGATTAACTGGGAAAAGTGTAAAGATAGGTCAGTAAAAGTCTATAGGAAGGAATTCGTGAATTGGTCTAATTTCACGAATTTATTTGCAACCGAAAAATTCGATTGCAGAGGAGACTTTCATTTCGCATAAAAGTGAATGATGAAAAGATTCGTAGACCGATCTCACCAGAATACGAAGGCTGATTCGCGTCCTACTGCATCCGTTTGGCTTGAACACGATGTTCAGGCTGACGCAGTCCTCTCGTCTCTTAACTCTACTCGAGAGCAAAAAACTAAAATGAAAAAGCAGCAATGGATATAGAATGGTTTGACTGATTACCTTTCAAATAGGTCATGGTACTTTTAGTTGAGTGCATGTGTGTGCCATTGTAGCTGTGGGTGTGATACCGTTTGTACGGAATACCCGTCCGAAATGAGAATTATCAAAAAAGCCTAATTTCAGGCTCGTGTTATCAAGGCTTAATGACCACAGGAACGAGACTTCATAGCTCCGTAAACATCTCTGATTGAGATAATAAGGCGTAAGCTTGCATGCGTGTAAGTCAACCTACGAAACTCCCTGTCATAGTCTGTTCATGTAGGTTCACTAAAGTTTAAGTATGTTAATAAAAGTTGGGTTTCGAGGACTCTCTTGTTTCATAATTGTTGAGCTAACTTCCAATTCGAGTGAAAGTGTTTTTGTTTATAGCGGGGGAGATAGCAGTCATCAAATTTTGATGGTCGAAAATAAACATTACTTCTGCTGTCCAAATTACTTGAAGCCATCACTGCTGGTTTTGTGCATAAGCGAACACAAACAGGCACATACACATACAGATACAGACACACTCACAGGCTTCGAGGTTGACACGACCGTAACTAACCAAATCACTTTATACCTGATCAGAGTATATATACCGGTTTTTAGGGATTTGCCGGTGAGTTTTCTTGACTCGTTAGCTTGAATTTGGTTGTGACGAGGATACCTTGCTCTGATGATGTTCGTCAAATGACAGACGAAAGCTTAGCATTTTTCACCAGAATCGAAGGAAACAGCGTCAACATGAATGTTCCAGTAAAGCCAATCGCCAGCTGGTCTAGAGGAGTCCGCCGTCGTCTTCTGGTGGAATCGAACTTCGAATCTCTTCACCAAACACTTTCACTCGAAATGGAAGTAAGCTCAACAGGGTTTAATTGACCAGAAAAACACATCACATGGAATTTCGTAATATAGTTCAGCCAGTTTGGTTGATGAATTTAATCTACATGTCGTACGAGTCTGAGTAGGGTCAAAACCATCAACAGGCTGATAGGATGAGTCACCCTTCTTTGGTTGGCGGCTCAAACCATCTCTTCTTCAGTCATCAGCATCCTCGAGCGCTTCACAATGCAGCGCATAGTCGTGACACGCTAGCCACCACGTCACAGGGAAGATGTGAATTTCAAGGAAGGTGTTTGCCCATGTCACATTATGCGGTGGGAAACAGTGAATTGAAACTGCAATCCGCATTGGATGAGCGTAACTGTTGGGAAAGCAAGGCTGTGCCAAATTCAATTGAAGGTCAACTCATATCATTGTGGAAAAGTTAAATCACAAAATAGAGAGATTAGATCTCATATATATGATCTGCTGGTAATCTCGAAAACACACTTATAAACGCAAAAATAAGTAGAAGTGGGTTGACCTCGTTTTCGCAACTTGGTCTTGTTGCTAGGTCAGCTTAGTTGAAGGCACCTTGCCGAAGTCCTCTGCCATAGTAGTTATCACAATTCCCAGCATCAGACAGTAGACTTGGTACATTCTCAGACACCATCAATGAGTCTTACCTCGTCAAAAAGTGTTTCTTTGTGGCAAGGTTAGCTGTTCACCTTTCACCTGTTCCTGTTTCTAGGGCCTTGAGAAATAGAACCTGGAGAAAGCATACATTGGGACTGAAACCGAGTGAAATCGGACAACCAAACAGACAAGAAACGGAGCTACGGTACCTTGAAGGAGATCCGGATTGGAGACTTGAGTTGGATTAGCTGATCAAAAGAGAGCGGGTCAGGGTGAATAGAAAATGTGATGGGGCCACACTAACTTTCCCCAAAAAGGGTACACATTCTGACGAGTGAAATGTAAACAAGTAAGAAGTTGTGATAGCGCAGGAGTTGGATAAGAGGGTAAAGAGTTGATAGATGGGCCGGGACAGAGAGACGAGTGAGAGTGCAACCGTTTAACTTAACTTCATTTGTCTGTTTTGACAAGTTGTTGCTTGGTGCGGATAATGGCAAGACGTTTGAGAATGTACCAAACCCAGGGTCTGATGCTGGGTGTTATAATAACTAATATGGCAGAGGACTTGGGACAAAGTGCGTTCGACTAAGTCGCCCTGACAACAAGACCAAGTTGCGAAAGCGAGGTCAACCCACTTATAGAAATCGAAAGTAGACTGCGACCATACCGAGGGCCACACCATCTTGGTCTTCATAGCGTTGGTAAAAATAAGTTAATCGCAGATATGAAGACCAAGATGGTGTGGCTTTATAGTTAGGGTTTGACCTCGTTTTCTCAACTTTGCGAACTGTACCTAGTTCTGTGTCCTCTGCCATAGTATTCGTGATTTTAAGCTGGGGAAACATTTGGGAATGTACCAAGTCAATTGTCCGATGCTGGAAATCACGAATAATATGGCACAAGACACAGGAATAGATACACTCCACAAGGTCTCCCTGACGTTCCATAAGAGCAAGTGGTTGTTGTTCAACTTTTTATCATTGTTCCTCACATTCCATGTGTTCCCTAATCTCAATCTAGCATACCTGCTCGTTAATTCCACTTTGTCTCCTTCCCAGTTTCTGCTATATGGTCGACCACTTATGACGATTGGGCCCATCTGCTTTTTCAAGCATGGGATGACATGTCTCACCAACATAAGTTCGATCACAGGAGCCGGGTCTCGATAATTTATTATATTTCTCACCGCTTCTCACTAGTTCGTCTATCTGTCTAGGAAGAAGGCATGACGTCAAAAGTAGGACGTAAAAGAAAGTCTCCGCTTGACTATATTTAATTAAATCGTCATTTCTTTATATTAACCAGAGGTGCTTACAGACTAACGCAGATTCGGTCATGTTTTTTCCTGGGTCATTAAAGCTTGGGGACCTAATTTTGACATTAGACTTTGTTAATCATTATAATTTAGGACCGGTATTCCACACACACAAACACACACACAAGTAAGAGTACCATGTACAACGTAAAAGCTAATTTGCCAAACCATTCTATTTCCATCTATGCTTATTCATTTTAATTTTTTGCTTATGAGTACATATAAGAAGTAAGATGGAGCCTGATACTCTTCTTGACCTATTTTTTGTCAACGTGAGACTTACAAGAATGAGTTCTGATGATGTCCGTCATATGCTAGACGAAAGCTCAGTCAGTTTTACCTAGAAACAAGTGATGATGTCTCGTGTAATGCGTCAACCTGAACGTCGTATTGAAGTGAAGCTAAATGACGAATCACTTTATCATGAATTTTCATATGAAATAAAGTTTTCCCAAACAATAGTAGCTATTCTTCGTATCTACAATGCAAAGTCGAAACAGATTAAATGGAAACCAGAAAGAGCCAACCGAAGCTTTTCATCGCAAACCTCCACTGAAAATAGAAGTGAGCTTAACAGTAAATTTATGCAATAAAGAAACACACTAAGATCTCAAAAGTATACATAAACAATTCGTCTTTAAAATGTAGATTTTTTCGAATGTTTTCTCATTTCCTAACTCTTCAGACACCCCGATGCTGCAGACAGTCCACGCTAGCAACACTTCTCGTTCTACCTCTACTCACGGCCCCACAACATCGGTTTCTCCAAGTCCCAGTTGTCGCCGTGACACCTGTGAGTTCTGTGGCAAGGTGTTCCGCAATTGCTCCAACCTCACTGTGCACCGACGCAGCCATACAGGCGAGAAACCATATCGCTGTAAACTCTGCTCGTATGCCTGCGCTCAGTCCTCCAAGTTGACAAGGCATCTGCGCACGCATGCGGCCAACGGACATGTAGATTCCGAGGCCTGGGCTCAGCTGCACGAGAAACCCTGTCTGCAACAAGGGACTAGGCAAGAGGACCGGACGTTGTACAGAACTCAGACCGAATCACTGGGTCCACAAACAAAGAGGATGGCCAACCGTCAGGCGGTCATCCGCCACCGCAGATTGAGAGAGTCCACGGAGACTTTGGCTCTAGCCAACCGTGACACGGGCTGTAGACAAGTTGATAAATGTGGTGCTCCATGTGCCCTTCCAGAATCATCCTCTCCTCAACTTTCTCGGTCTCTTCAGTCTTCATCTTATTTGGCTTCTTAATACAGTCTTCCACCTCTCCCCTCGCAACTGTCGCTACCCCC